GCTAACAGTTTGACTGAACTAAAGAAAGAAGAAATCTTACCACTAATGCACATAAGCACTTTCTAAACCTTGGAGTTAAGATTAATAATTGAGGTAGAATTTAAAATAGAATATGTTATGCTGAGACTATAGTCTACATAGGTATACATGCTAAGGTTTGATCAGTGATGAAAATGGAAGTTCAGGAAACAAAAAGCTTCCGCTTGTAATTTTATACTGTCTTGTCCACAGGTGAGCCAAAACTATTCACACTGGTATGCAAAACAATTAGGAAGTTGTAAAGGAAGTTTTATCAGCTATTTGTGTAAAAAGGGGCAAAACAGGAGGCATTGTTTTACCAATGCTTCTTTCAATAATATCCCTCAAATACTTATAAATACTTATTTGGTGACAGTGATTGTAGAAGACAACCATATTTCTCTCTACGTATTAAAGTACTATGTGATATATTTCTGTGTATTTCTACTTTACCTTTGTATGACATCTGTGTGTATGCATGCAGTGCAAAGCACACAGGTTGGGTTTAAGTCCAGTTACTACTAAAAAGACAAATGAACAAGGTTCTTTATATAATTCCCTTTATTCTTTCTATTGGGTGGAAAAGAGTAGAAAATGGAACCTTGATAAGCACACATGTTTATAATATACAGTGATTTTTGAAGTTTAATTCTGATCAGAAGGAGCATTTTAAGCTTTTCTGTGAATCTTTGCTGTGAAATATTGATGTTCTGTTCAAAATGTGAAATTTGCTACAAAGTGACATTGCCAATTAATTTCATATAAGGAAGCTTCAGATAATCCTGACTGGGATCTTGAGTGCAGCTGTTGACAGGCATGCCCAGCTGATGGGAGACACAGCTAAAAACCTAGCAAAGGCAATTTTCCTCAAGGCTAAAGAGGCAGCCTTTCTCAAGACCAGCCAGGAATAGGAACTTCTATGGCTCTCTTCCTGTTCTGGGCTCTCTTCCTGTTCTCCTTGAGGAAGATTGCCTTTGCTAGCTTTCTAGCTCCATCTTGCATTGGCTGGGTATCAACAGCTGCAGGGAAAGGGAAAAGTGAATGGACACAAGTGTGATGGGGCAGGGAGAAGGCCCAGGCCTCTTGAGAGTGGCAGAGGAGGAAGGAAGCCCATGTGGCTCCTGGCCCACAATTGCTTTTGGTGGAGTTGCAGCGCTTCTCCTTGTAAAGGCGCATATGTTACCAGACACCCACATTTTGTTCACATGACAATGGAGATGCTGCTCAGAACTTCAGGCAGGAGTCAAAGTCCTGGTAATTTCACTGAAATGAATGAATGGTCAACAGTTAAGGACTACCTAAGGACTGAACCTCTATCATTATTAAGCTTCCATCAGCTCTTCTGCTCTTTAAAAATCTTCAACAACCACCTAATGAGATAGAACTGTTATTTTTTCCTTCCTTACATCTCATTCCGTGCCTTTTTTTTCTCAGTTAGCATTTTAAAATTCTATAGCTATTGAGGCCACATTTTTAGCTGTTCTACTTCATGTAGCATGTCAGGTTGGCTCTGAAATATACATCTGACCTGATCTGCCTTTTAAAAAGCTTGTAATAGAGATTTTATCACAGCTCAAGATATGACTATAATGGAGCCTGCACATTACAGTCACATGTTGTGATGGTCATTAGGTGAAGCATCTCACCTAATTTCCAAAAGCAAGTGCAATGGGTGATGGGCATGTGTGAGCAGGCCCAAGCATTACAGGGTCCTGGGAAAAAAAGGAGAGAGGGCACTGTAGCATCCTTATAGTGAGTCGTAATGGCAAATGATTGTAGGAGCACTGCAGCAGTCATAACTTTGAAACAAGGTCATATATAATTTGGGGATATCTGTTGTAACTTTGAACATTCATTAAGTAAACTGTCGTATCTGGAGGACTATTTGTAGTTAGGAGAGTGTGCCAGGAACTCAACCCTTATTAAGATTATTACTAGAAATTATTAGAGCTGTAAATTGGCAGCCTTAGACTACCCACACACAAGAGAGCTAGTGTAATCATCATGAACTGGAATTTGTGTAACATTCTGAATATTCAAGAATGCCATGTAAATGACTCATTTATTAATGACTACAGTCCTATGCATATTTAGCATGGGGATAAAAGACTAACAATGCAATTTTAGATATATCTTCCAAAATTAATTCCACTATGCCCAATCAAGCTAACTTGTACTTTCCAAACATGAGACTGCCAGTTATGCTGAATTTCAACTAATGTTATTCCCAACCAGTATTCTAGCCAGTTGGGGAATACTGATATATAAGACCATGGCGTAACTGCTTATAATAAATTCGATCAATTTCTATTATTACTACCACAATAACCATTATCAGGATCCTTAAAACAACATAGGGTTGCTTTATATAACCATAATCATTCTTTTTAAACTGCTTTTTTAAAACTGTTATGGCACCTGTGTATAAAATACTTCAGCATGTTTCCCCAATCCACTAACCAACATGCAGTAGTATTAAAAGAAAAATGTTAAAAGTGGATTTCTGAAATTTGTTTGACAAGGTCAATAGCGCAGGTCAATGAAGAAATAAATTCTACAAAGGAGATACAGCTCCCCCCCCTTAGTAAACCTGTGTTTAAATTGAAGGCTAAGTATAGCTCTGCAACATTTGAGAGAAATGAAAATGAGCAATATTTTTCTGTATAACCACTTTGTCTTGGTAATAACCCTGTCTGCTGCATACAACAACGTCTGTGCTTTGTGCAGCCAGCTCTGTCATTTGCAGAAAAGGCAATGGGTGCCAAACTACATTAGCATGATGATATTTTAAAAGTTTATTTTAATTATTTTGCATTATGCTGTGTTTTTTTAGCAAAGCAATGAAAAGAGATAGGCAAAATGTATGATGAAGTTACAATATTGCCTTTAAACCAACTCGTTTACATAAAAATCTACGTATTAAAATACACAGAGGCAAATATTGACAGAAGGCATTTGCTTTTATAGCTTGTGAAGTAGGGAGTAATATGAACTGAATAATTCTCTTCAGAAAGATTCTGGTTTGTGTAAAGAAAATAAAAAAAAGAAAAATAGTTTCATAGAAGAGAACAAAATAAGAACTATTTCGGAGAGCTCCATTAACAAGTTAGTCATCCATTCTTGAATATAAGAATAAATTCCAAGTCCTTTTTGTTCAGGGATTCAATTTTTCTCCTTTGATAATGTTCCTTTGTACATGGAAAATATTTTTGCTTATTTTAAATTGTTACGTTATTTAATGGGATTTCTATGCTGCACAATTCAGCAGGATTGATAAAAAAAATAACACATCAAAGGAGCAGGATTGTGACCACAAAGAATATAGATATAATTATTTTGTTAGCCAGTCCTGATTTTTCTAGAAAATGGTATGGTGCTAAACAAACAAAGAAACAAACAACCCAAAAGGAAAATAATTTCTCTGGAGCTTTCTTCAGTATTGTATGGGCTGTGTTAAGGAAACAGAACAGAATGGTGCAGCACAGAAACCTCTTGGAAGCAGCCACCATTTTTAGCATGGCAACAATTCTCTGCAGTTTTGCCAAAATGGTGGCTGCTTCCGGGAGGCTGCCATGCAGCCCAGGGACAGATTGCTCCATTCTGCTTCCCTAACATGGTCTGTGCAGTCCTGCAGAAAGCTCCAAACATCTTCAAAATGTAAAATATGCAATGGAGTGGAGGGTCAAGGCCTGGTGAGATTTGTTGGAACGGGAAAAAAGCCTGTGGGGAATGGGGGCAAGGGAGGTGGAAAGCAGGCTCAAGGGCTATGGAGACCCCAAGCAGTAGGAGGCAGAGCATGAGCTGTCTCAGAGAGCACTAGAGGGACTGGGAGGCCTGAGGCAGGTGGGCCTGGGCCTTCACTAGCCCCTCCCCCAGAGCCTTTCCCATCCCTGCTCTGCTTAATGTCCACATCAGAGGAGCAGGAGGTTGGGGGATCATTAAACAAAGCTGTTTCAGTTAATGGCTGTCACACTTTGAAACCGTAATGGTCAAGCTTCATGATGGCCACAAGTTGAGGACTCCTGTACATACTAGTTGTTTTAGTATCTTTAAAACAGGGGTGTCAAACTCAAGGCCCAGGGGCTGGACCTGGCCTGCGGGGTGGTTAGATCTGGCCCATGGGGCCGCCCTGGAAACAGCAAAGGACTGGCCCGCGTTACCTCTGCTAGCAAAAATGGAACTCGTGAGGGCTACGGGCAGTCCTCCTGAGCTCTGTTTTCACTGGCAGAGGATTGCAGGAGGCTGTTGCAGCCAAAAATGGAGCTCAGGAGCCTGTTTTCGCTGGCAGAAAGCTCAGGCCACCACAGGTGCCCCGACACGAATGATCTTGGGGTGGGCGTGGCCAGCGTGGCTGTTGTGTCCACAGGGCTGCTGAAGGAGCATAGAGCGTCCTGACAAAACACGATCTGATTGGTTTATTGCCGCATCCCTTCAGGCGGGAAAATTAAGGCTTACTATTGGTTGTTGTTTTTGACAGCTCAGTATATAAGAGCTGTCAACTCTTTCTAATGGGATTTTCTGTTCAGGAGTTGCCTTTGTTGTTAATAAATGGTTTATGTTACAAGCTGTCTCCTCATTCATGCAGACCCTCATTGAGTATATAATAGTGGCCATGCCCATCCCAGCCCCCCAAGGTCAAACACAACCCTGATGCAGCCATCAATGAAATTGAGTTTGACACCCCTGCTATAAACATCTAGCTTACTTTCATGCATTATTTTCAAAGCATATGAATGGAAAATATATCAGTATGAACCAAGCAGACTGGAAGTCATGCCTACCAATTACATAGCAGTTCTCTAGAATAATGCTTACTTTGAAAACTCATAGAATGATAAAGTTGAAAGTTTATCAAAACTTTTGTCAAAAATCCAACTTCCTGTATCCAAATTAAAGCATCCCTGACAAATGATTGGCTAGTTTCTGTCTGAAGATATCCAGTGAATGATATTTAATTCAACCTTCCCTTTTTGTCCTCCTAGGAAATCATGGTTCTCAACAGCAGCTTTTCTCTCAGCTTTTCATGTCTTAATCACTCAAAGAATCTGGGTCTCACTAAGGTAAAAATCAAAAGCCTATGTTTTCAAAGTCTTCTATACATTTACAAATGCTCTGCTATTATATTTCTTAGTATCAGTAATTTTTAAGTACAGGAAAATTGCAGCAATACCACTGACAACTTTTACTGCTAAATTGTATTAAGAATACATGGTGATAATTCCAACTTATTAATGAGAACTCATTGGTTGCATTTCACTAAACCACATTTGAGTAAGACGAAATTCAAATCGCACTTGGATAACACAGTACATTTGTCTCAGTTAAAAAGAAATCAGATCCTTATGAACTGGAATAATATAATACAATGACATTTGTGTTTGTCTCCATCAAAGTAAAATTGCTACGCAGCTCTAACTTAATAACTTCCCCAAGACTATGCCTGTCTCCAGCAGCACCTTCTAAGTCTTATTCTCTCTCCAACATTTGTTTCTCTCTAGCACCAAAAGATTCAGCTGCCAGTGATTGACTCTGTTTATTACAATCTAGTTTTTGGTACTTGTCAGCATTTTACTGCATGAAGGCATGAAGGCCTGTGGAGGGAAAAGTCAGGACAGAGCAGACTCAGAGATGGATAGAATCTGGTGAGAGATGGCAGCCATGAGCAGAATCCAGAGGTTTCTCAGTGTGCTGTCATTTGAAAAAAATCTTGATGGGGCTTTATTAATTAGCTTAATATCTAATTAATCTACTAGTGAATTTCTGCCTTTGACCTACTTGGTACTGAGGAACAATTGATTACTTAAACCAAAAACTCATTCAGTGGCTAGAGTAAATGAACTACACATAAATATGTATTCTGAAGCAGAGAGCAATGTCTGCCTTTCCCTCTAGGCGTTAATTATACTGGCTATTGCTTTTACACTCCAATCTCTGCTCCAGAGAAAATGAAGGAGGAATAAGCTATTCCTGATTTTTCCCTCTTAAATATTTGGGTATTTCTTTAATTTGGAGTCAGTAATAAATATTAATGCATGAAAAAGACAACATGCAAGCTTTTCTACAGAGAGCTATTACAGCATTGACATTCTTCCTGGCCTTTTCACATAATTCTTACTTAATATGAATCATTTTTTTAGCAGAAACTGCCAGCTGTGCCAAATTGCATTCTATTACCCAGATAATGAAAAATAAAACTGTAGTCCTACCTTCTTCTGATGAGTTACAAATCTGGCTTATAAAAAAATGAAAAACCACTAGATAAAGAACAAAAAAGCATAGAAAATTCCAACTCTTTGCTATCATCTAGTAATTAACCTGATTTCTGCAGCCCAATTTTAGTAGCTATCTAGTATCTATCTGTAAAACATATGGGGCTCTCTTCAGGCTGTTGATTGAATAATCAACAGAAAATGTAATTTTTTTCTTCGTCTAATTTACAACAACCAGGATACCCCAAAGTGTTCAGAATGAAAGGGAGAGTTGCTTGAAATTTATTGGCTTTAGCTCAGAAGTTTTGATTAACACTGCAAATTAAGATGAAAACAGTTAAAAAAAAACCCCAATATTGCAATGCATTTATATGGTAGGGAACACATCTTCCTTGCAGAAAAAAATGGAACAATTACTTGTTTTTCCTGTAAAGTAATAGAAGTCACTTCTCTTAACCTGATTCAGAAGGGTCTGTGGGAAGAGGGAGTCAAGATGATAACTGCATGACTGAAGCCCAAACTGTACTGTGGATATAATGCATCTGGAAAGAGCAGAACTTCAGTTGTGAAATCACTGCTGCATCTAGACTTTTTGTGTTTTCAGTGGACACCTTTGGCTCAATCTTTCTCACAGAATTGTTGATATAGGGAAAAATGAAAGGAGGGAATTCTTTGCACTATAGCTTGAGCTCTGAAGAAAAAGTAGCATATAACACATAATTCAATCAAATCAACACACAATATACTGTATATATGAAGTAACATAACAGAAGACAGATAATCTCAATACAACACATGCCTGTTAACTGCCTTTATATATACTGTAGAATCACATACTATATATAAATGTAAAATTGACTAAGGTTATTTTGGATATTCTTTCTTCTCAAAGTGTAATTGTCTCTAAACATACTACAATATTTTTTGGTCTATAAGACGCACTCCCCTCCCCCCCAAAGTGGGTGGAAATGTGCATCTTATAGAGCATCTGTGCATCTTATAGAGCAAATGTTGCTGAAGCCCCGCCCATGTTTTTAGCCTCTGTGCATCCCATTTTTGACATGTTCCAGGCGGTGGGGATTGCCGCTGCCTATCACCGCCAGTGGCAATCAGCGGTGCTATGTGGCTGCAGTGATAGGCAGTGGGTGATAGGTGGAGGTGGCGGCCCCCGCCACCTGGAATGGGCTGAAAATGTGGCATGTGGAGGCAGCGATGGCGATGGGCGGTGGCGATCCCTGCAACCTGGAACAGCTTATTGGCGGTATTCTGGAAGGCTAATCCAACCGTCAATCAGCTTTCATGCTAAATCAGGCTGCAATAACATGCTGAAGCTGACCAGGCTGTTCGCTGTTTGCTGCAAGGACACTAGCCAGATGAATACTGATGGATGCTGGGAGGCAGAGGCAATTTTTTTTTCTTGTTTTCCTCCCCCAAAGCTAGGTGCGTCTTATGGTCCGAAGCGTCTTATAGTGCAAAAAATACAGTAAATATTTATTTAGTATTTTAGATTTTTTTCTATGCATGCTTTATAATATTTCTTACTAACAATAAATTGTAACCTTGATTGAGATTACATCTTGCAAATAACTATTAAAATTAATGTGATTTATATTTACAAATATAAAGCAAGGCAAAACAACTGCCTTTGAACACTTCAACCAGTTACCGGCCTGAATAACAACAAAGCAGAAAAAATTCAGCAGCAGCTATCCCTGAGATAGAAGATGAAAAATCGTATTTTGATTCCTGATTCTGGCTTTGTAAAGATATCAGTTTTACGTACACACACACACACACACACACACACACACACACACACACACACACACGATCTCCAGCATGGGTTTTCCCTTTGATGCATGCTTGCTATTGGCTGCCATAGTAACGGGGGGAGGGGGCATGGCATTGGGGGTAGGGAAATGAGCTTGTGTGATGAAGGCCTATGTGAACTAAAAATGGGGGTTTGCTCTCAAGAATTACTGAGCTGCTGAATGGAGTTGTTTACACCCAGTCAAGGCCAACCGTCCTAGAACTCCAGATGGACGAAAGTATCTGAATATGTGCTCCACATGATATTATGCGGGACATGGATTGGACATTCAACATGGGTCCCTGGGGTGGGGGAGGGATTTGGGGAAACTTTCAATATGTAACATTCGTGCCTTTTGGATCAGATCCTGCTTTCCTTTTGCCGCTATCATTTCAAACCTCTTCTCTACTTCAATGGAGTTGGGGATTTTCATTCTTGGGTTTTGAATGGAGGCATGTCTGACATTAAGCAGGATCTGCTTTATCGGCCAACACTGAGACCTAGTCTACCGAGGGGGCTGAGCACACAATGTCAACTCACGGGAGCAATCAGGAAGACTGGGGAACCCTGGGGTTGACCTCCCCCCAGCCACATTGCTGCCAGGAGGAGACAGAGTGGCTGGAGAAGCTGCAGCTTGACAAGAAATCAGTCCAAGCCAGATAGTCACTGGGTGTAGGGTGCATGGAAGACTAGAGATTCACCCCCTGGGGGTGACTGTCGCTAGACACTGGTGGGGAGATGATACCTTGCAGGAAGCCAACAAAGAGGATCTCCTGCTAACCCATGCCCTGCAACTTCTTCACGAAGCACTCGAGAGTCAGAGAGCTGGAGGGCCCTCGCACAGAAGCATGCCCTGCCAGTGCGTGAAGAAGTTGGAGAGGTAGCAGGGGGAGTCGGTGTCTCTACAACTCCAGCTGTGATTCCGGTAGCTCAGCAGGGGCCAGCTCCAGCTGCCACTGCTGCAGCTCATATTCCCCCCCCCAGCAGGGAGACGCCAAATTCCAAAGATTCCTCAGCTGGGAGTAAAATACAGAGGGGATCCCAAAGCCATGGTATTCTTTCTAGCTCAAGTCTGGGATCACATGCAGGAGTATGGGGCGGATTTTGCTTCAGAGGCAGCCAAAATGAGATGTGTTGCCGTGGCCCTGGAAGGGGCCACAGCAGATTGGATGGTCACCTTTCACAACAATGATGCCCCCCAGCTGAGAGATTACAACCAGTTTATGGTGGCGCTCCACATGCGGTTCGAGGACCCCCTAGCCGAACGCAAAGCTAGGACCAGGATGAAGACAATAAGCCAGGGATGGAGGTCAGTAGCAGAATACACCTAGGAGTTTTGCCTGCCACATGCATGGCTTTCTTGAATATTTCCCGCAGGATGTGTATGTCTGCTCAGCCAGTTTAGAGCCCTTATTGTCTCTGAACTACAATTTCTCATTAATTGAATTGCAACTTGCTCTGATGTATTTTTCCAGCCTTGAACAGGACACCACAATGTCAGAGAATATCGGGGAACATTAAAGAACAAGCTGTAGTTTACTATGGAAAGAAAAATAAATCTTCTTATATTTCTCCAATAAATCTTACATGCTTTAAGGATACTTCCCCTATTTGTTCATCTTAATTAATGTTGCAATGAGCATAAACCAATTTAGCAAGATAGGAAATACACTAGCAGCATAACAAAAATGATTACAATTTCATTTAACAGCTGCAGGTTCTCGCTGTCCTTTTGAATTGTCTTATATCTGTCAACGTAGATTATTACAGATGGACAATTCAGTGAACAGTTTTTATATTCTAATCTTGAGATTATCAGGCAATTTACCAACAATCCACTATGCTGCAAATCTGTATGAAGATTACTCTTCTACCCAGTGGTGGGATTCAAATAATTTAACAACTGGTTCTCTGCCCTAATAACCAGCTGGGTAGGTGTCGCTCGGTGGTCATGTGACCGTGTGGGTGTGGCCAACTCAATGTCACTCACATCGATGGGCGCTTCACCTTAGCTGTTACAATGTAATAAGGGTTAACCAGAGAGGCAGTTTCTGTAAACAGGGCAATAAAGATTAGGCTAGAAACAACACCAGAATGTTTCCTTCCTGCCTTCCTTACAGGATTAGCCCTGTAAAGTGGAAAAAAACAAAATAAGATTTCTTCCAACAACCAGTTCTCCCGAATAGTTGAGAACTGGCTGAATCCCACCACTGCTTCTACCCCCCGAAATCTTTATGGAAGTCTGAGACATCATAAAGAAAACTTTGCTTCATCATTCCCATGATTACATATAACATTGGATGGGATTAAATTCTAAACTCCACATGTCTCTTTCAGAATGGCTATTTATAATATTTTCTGTACATAATATAAAACTGATTGCCTCATGAGACAAAAGCTACATCCCAGATGACAGTGAAGGGTTATTAATTAAAACTGAAATGTATAGTTTACACTTACTTTGAAATACGTGCAGTAATATTTATTTTTCTTTTCTTTTTCTAGCCTCTTCTCTCTCTCTCTCTATTAATATATCTTCACTACTAAAGGTGATAAGCAGACTTTTAGAAGTTAATAGTAGTGCTGATGATAATTCAACAATTTTTATTTATTTTTAGCAGAAGGTCATATATGCATTCCCCATTTGGTTTCTTTTATGCATGTTGCAAATTCAGAGTAAAATAGCCATTTCAACTGACACTGAAACCCATGAAGATACTTAGGGGAATTATGCATAATATATTTAAAAAGACACAATATTAGTGTCAGTCTTGGCAAAAAGTATCTACTTTCTATACAGTTTCAGAATAAAACCCAACTTCATAGCAACAAATAACTTATGAATTTTTCATTCCTCTTATTTCCAGGGTTTCAGGGGAGTGCATTGAAATTTTGAACAGGAAGAAAAAAGTATGCAGCTTTTTCTTTTTGCATGATAAAAAATGTTAACATTATACCACCCCAATAATCTCATTTCCTACTTCCTCTTTGTTAAACTGCTGGTTGCAGCCAACTCATAATCATAACATGACAGGTCAAATTTTATTGTTTGTTCCATCCATCATTACTGACATGCTAATTCAAAGTAAGTATGGCACAGACTATTTGCTGCCACTTCTCCCTATGCAACCACTGTAATTTTAATGCAGAGGGTTATTAGGAAACACATTTGCCTGCTGTCATTTAGAGACATACCTCTTCCATGCCTTTCCAGACTCTATAATTATGCTTTCTCTCCCATAATATATTTAGTATTCCTTACAACTATCAGACAAATAACTCAGAGGCTATCACCAGTGACTGTCATGGGAAGCAACCAATAATAATGTACACTACAGGTAGTCCTTGACTTACAACAGTTCATTTAGTGACCGTTCAAAGTTACAATGGCACTGAAAAAAGTGAGTTATGACTGTTTTTCACACTTATGACCGTTGCAGCATCCCCATAGTCATGTGATCAAGATTCTGACTCATTGGCAACTGACTCATATTTATGACAATTGCAGTGTCCTGGGGTCATGTGATCACCTTTTGCTATTTTCTGACAAGCAAAGCCCATGGGAAAACCAGACTCACTTAAAAACCATGTTACTAACTTAACAACTGCAATGATTCACTTAACAACTGTGGCAAGAAAAGTTGTAAATTGTGGCAAAGTTCACTTAACAAATGTCTTGCTTAGCAAGAGAAATGTTGAGCTCAATTGTGGTCATAAATTGAGGACTACCTGTATAGAAGGGTGTGTGTGTGGGAGAGACAGAGAAGAGAGTATGACAGAAAATATAAAACTCATAGAGTTTTATCATATGCTAGCATGAGGATCAGAGGCTTTATGCCTCTCAGCATCATTTAATGAACAGTAGCAGGTTGATTGCATTCATGCCTTGATTAGAGTGAACAAACTCGAATAGGTCTTTGATCTGATCCAGAACCCTTTTTAAAAACACTGTAATAGTGTTGTGCCAATTATTAACAATAAAATGCTAATATATTAATACTAAGAGGTCCAAATTACATTCTGAGAAGCATGCATATACACTTTGTTTGTCTTCTCCCAAGTTCATTCTGATTTCTAGTTTTCCAGATGACCGTGTTTCTCCCTTTGTTTGCAACTATTTGTCCTTCTTCCAGTTCCTTTCTTTTGCAAAATTTTCTTGCTCGCCTTAATAGAGTAACAGAGTTGGAAGGGATCTTGAAGGTCTTCTAATCCAACTCCCTGCTCAAGGAGGAAACTCTATACCATTTCTGACAAATCACTGTCCAATCTCTTCTTAAAAATCACCAGTGTAGGAGTACCCACAATTTCTGGAGGCAAGTTGTTTCACTGATTGGAGATTCAAGATGTTGTAGGATGTACACAGAGAGGGCCTCCTCAGGGTGCTGTCGGCCAGACAATGTCGGCTGGCGACCCCCAGGGGGAGAACCTTCTCTGTGGCAGCACCTGCCCTCTGGAACAACCTACCCCCAGAGATACTCACGATACCAGACCTCCGGACTTTTCGTCGGGCCCTGAAAATACATCTATTCCATCTAGCCGGGCTGGCTTGACCCCATCCTTGCGGTTTTAAATTTATAATTGGTTTTAATTGGGTTATTTTAAATTGATGGCCAAAATTATTTAATGTTTTTTAAATTGTTTTTAAATTTTATATGTTGTGTTTTTACCGTGGCTGTTCACCGCCCTGAGTCCTGTTGGAGAAGGGTGGTATACAAATAAAATAAATAAAAATAAAATAAATAAATAAAATGTAGTGCAGAGCCATATTAACAGCATCATCTGTCGATCTATTTGCTCAGTATGCAAATTGCAAGGGGTCTAACAGCAGATCTGTGATGGTTTTCAGGTGGGACATCACTAGCCTTTCAAAGGTTTTCATAATTACAGATGTTAGAGCAACTGGTATGTAGTCATTCAGTTCCTTGATGGAGGGCTTCTTCGACACTGGGATGATAGTGGAGCGTTTGAAGCAAGAAGGAACATGGCACATCTCTAGTGATTTATTGAAGATTCAAGTGAAGATGAGGGCCAATTGGTCAGCACAGACTTTTAAGCAAGAAGGAGTTATCTTGTCTGGGCCTGGTGCTTTTCCTGGCTTTTGTCTATGTTTTCTGGAGTCTCAACATTTTTTTTATATCATGGCGACCAAACTGGATGCAATATTCCAAGTGTGGTCTTACCAAGGCATTATAAAGTGATATCAATGCTATGTCACGTCTTACTTATATATCCATTGCTACAATAGCAGTGAATAAGTGTGTATGTTTGTGTGTATATGTTTTATTTTTGCCCCTGAGTGGGAAGGGGACACTTTCAGAGTGCCTATGATTCAATACCATACATAGGAAAGAACAAACAAACACCTTTGTAGCTGGAGATAAACATGACCAATAATCTTAAAATTAAAATTAGAATGCAATAAGGCTGCATGCAGTGCTTCAGATCTGAAGAAAAAAGATACTTTGGAGCATGTGCATCTCCTTAAGCCAAGTATATATTTTGGGCAACGGGATACATCTGAAAATGGCAGTTCATCCTAAAAGCTTAGAACCCTTTGCCAAAAAGTGTATGGAGATGGCAGGCAGGGGAACTTATTAACTAACAATATTTTCCATTTCCATATTTTCAGAGTCCATTTATTTTGTTCAACCTCCCATCTGTAATTTACCATTTGTTACCAATTTACCAATTTGTTACCAAATTACCAATTTAACATTTGTTGCAAAATATTTGACCTACATGCTGTGGCCTTACATTTATAATTAAATCTAGATAATTATGTGTAAGGGCTTACTCTTAAAGTAAAACGTTATGAGAAAGTAAGCATCAGTAAATTGAGAAAATATTTGGGAAATGTATCTAGAAATAAAAATCTATAATTTGGATTTTGATAATGTACTGCTGCTAGTAAAAAAATAAAGAAGAAAATAGAAGAAAATGAGAACAATTGTGTTTGAGGTGGAAAAAGATACATATTTCCCTATATTGATGTTTCATTTGCTTCATTAGAATTTAACCTACCCAGCTAGATAAAGTTTCCAGGTAGAATTTGTGACAAGCCACATCCACATTTCCAATATAAGGTTTTCCAGCTTTATTGATCAATAATTCTGTATTCTGAAGCTGCTGATGGGCAATGCTGGATGCATTCATTCACATATTTTATTCAAACATGTATCAAACTAATCTGATGAAACAGTGAAAGTAATGAAAAATAATATCACTTTGTTAAGCAAGCAGCAACATTAAATAGAGTGGAAAAAAACCCAGAGCCTTGCAGAATAGATTTAGATTTACTGCAAATTCATAAAGCCAACAAGCATTGGTCTTACATTCTTTAACATAGACTCCTGTGGCCAAAACTAACCATGTGAAAAATGTAACATCTGAACTGCAACCAGCCTGGGAATTTTTAGGGAATGATCTACTGAAAACAGCCATCATCTATTTGAAAATCCATCTGTGATTTCTGTTTTAAAGAAATATTAAGTCAATGTGCAGTCTAGAGAATTTCTAGGAATAAATGTGTTAGAATCCCACCAAAAGCATTCTTTCTATACAAGCTGAGAAAATCAGCATTTTCACTCAGCCTGCAGTTTTGCAGCATATAAAATAAACTATAATGGCACCTTGGTTCTCAACTGCTTTGAAATTTGTCGAATTTGGTACTCGATGCATTTTGATGTGAAAGTTTTGACCCAGTACTCAAAGTTTGTTTGGTACCCGACATGCAAGCTAGAACTTGGGGTTTTTTCCCCCCAAGGTTTTTATTTTTTTACAAACATATCAATGCATAACAGGGTGGCACTTGGGTATCATGCATTCTAATACAAATAAAACTAGTAAAATTAATCATAGTTATTACATTCAATCAACTTGTATATTTCTAATATTGATACACATTTATATTAAGTTGCAGTCTGTCATTATTCAATTATTCAATATTTTCTCTTGTTAATGCTTTTATTTTATTATATGAAAGTGTATACACTAATATTCCCCCTCTTATTTCTATCTCTTATTTTAACTTTTAATCATATCACCCTTTATTTAAAAAAAAAAAGTTTTCTTTCTATCCTACCTAACTTCTAGTCATGCCACCTACCTAAAAAAAGAAAAGGAAGAGAGAGAAAAAGAAAAGCAAATCAGAACAACAACAATTAGAACTTGTTGATGTTAGTTGCCTTGCTACTAATACATTATACCTTATGGGAAAATTTTGTTTGATATTCGTCATTTCTGGTACTTGTTGCACCTCTTGGAACCAATTAATGACCAGTACTGAGGTACCACTATATTGGTGGAATATTTTAGTAATATGCTAACAGGTTTTTCAATTTAATATGATTAATGTCTCTGTGTGCATGAACTGCTACATTTATAAAGGAAAATGTAAGTAGCAAGGTAATTGGATAGACTTGAGCTGCTCACCTGCTTAAAACTTTTAATTCTACATCCTGAAGTTTAATCAACTATTATTCTTATATACTGTTGTTTAAAAATCCATGGACATTTGTTTAAATTCTTCTTTATGTTTGTCTACTTGACAGATTTAGTAAATTATATAGTACAGTACATATAAATTGTTAGTGTTTCCTGCTGCCATTTCTACACACTCACACAGACACACACACATTGTTGGTAGACAGCTATACAGCTCATATAACAAAGCCCATAGAGTTTGAATTAAAAAAAAATGTTTTCTGGCTTTTCTTTGAAAAAGAAAACTATATCAAGAAGTGTTATTTTCAAAGATACAGAGCCATTCTTCAGTCTGTGTGATGTGGCCATATTAACAGGATTATCAGTGCTTGCTGGATAACATAGTATGAATAATAGAAAGGAAAATGTACAGCTTTCTTCTGGGTGATAGATTGGTCAAAATTCTCTGCTAAATAGATTAACGTTGG